GCAAATGGTGGAAAGATCATACTGGATAGGGCCACCTACCTCTGATATATCTCCTTTCCCTTTATTTTCCTGATCCCTTCCTCACTCTTTCCCTTTCTTCCCACACAGCAGACAGAGACAAATTACTATTGCCAGAGGTCTGAACTGCAGAGAAATTGGCCTAATCTTGCAATTAGATCAAAAGCCACCTGGACCTGCAATTTGCCCACATTTCTTCTATAGGCATCCAAAAAGTTGTACTTCTAACCTGGAGAATATGCTGATAGTCAAGCAAATGGGTTACAGTGTAATTAATACTGTTGTTACTAGGATCTGTTTTTCTTTCAGAGGCTGATAAAAGCTCCCATACCAGGATTTTTTAAAAAAAAATATATTATGCTGAACACACACACACACATACTCCACATACACACACACATATATACACACATCCCTATATTCAGCCAGGTGATTGATATAATTTCAAACTTAGTTCTCATCATAGTAATTTAAAAGAAAGGAAAAAAAAAAAAGAGCCTGACAAAGTATGTTGTAAACAAAACAACTTCAAGAACTGACCATATTTCTTTGCTCCTTGTAAAAAAAAAATTGATAATTGATTATGTGCCATGAAGTCATCACTCACTCTTAGCTACCACGTAGTAAATTTTCTCCATGATGATCTGTCTCTAACTTAGTCTTTCAGGTCTTCCAATGGTGCACTTATCTCCATTGTAACTGAGTCCATCCACCTTGCTGTTGGTTGTCCTCTTCTTCTCTTTCCTTCTGCCTTTCCCAGCATTACAGCCTTCTCCACAGAGCTAGGTGTTTGCATGTGTCCAAAGTAGGATAATTTGAGCCTGGTCATCACTCTGGATTGATTTATTTGATGATCCATATTGTTGACGATTATTCTCCATTTTTAATCTGACCATTCTCTATTCAGACAATCCCCCAAATCATGTTAATGGTCTTTGGGGAAATGGCATTTTTGCAGAACTCTTTATATAGCATTCCAGGTCCTGGGAGACAATTTTCACTTCCTTGGCTTTCCTGCCATAGCTTCCTCTCTTCTTGGAACCCCTTTAAGCAGGTGGTACATTGGAAAATTGTATTCGCTTATTATTGCATTTTTATGACAGTCCCCCACCCCAAGACTTCAAGGTGGGTCATTGCACAATGACAATCAGGCAGATTGGGCTGAGAGAGTATCTGGAATGAAGTCACCCAGAAACTGTCGGGGGGGGGACACTTTAAGCTGGGTCTGCCCATTTCAGATCTGATCTCTGCAATACACTGATGTGTATAAAAGGGGAGTTGACTCAAATTCATATTGGCTTAAAAGTTAGTTTCAGTGGTACCTCGGGTTACGAACTTAATTCGTTCCGTGACTCTGGTCGTAGCCCGAATTGGTTGCAACCCGAAGGAAATTTCCCCATAAGGTTCAATGTG